GAAGTAGTTTCAGTACAACAAACAAAACTTTCTGCTCAGCTGTAAATATTCAGTATTTACATATGAAATATAGATAAGTGGAATAATAGATGGCTGACATTTCAGTCGTCTCACGGACTCACTGAAGGCCGTGCTCACGTGGGTTTCTGTGCAGGATCAGACAAACAGGTCTGCTTGTGTGTGTTTTATCACAAGCACAGCGTTTTGTTGTCTGTGAGTCTTTGAGGCTTTTCCATTTCCAGAATGAAGTGTAGGTGTGCACTGGACTTGCACACCATCATCGCTTTTGGTAATTAGTTTCATGTTTCATCATTTGGTAGACTTATGTTTACCTCCCTTACCTTACTGAGTGTTTTTTGCCTTTTGTCTTTTGAACAGTTTAAGAGTGAACTTAAATCTCTATGACAAGAAGATTAGTGGTAATGTTTTCTTGGTATATACAAACTAATTATCTTTTAAAGAACTAGCTGGGGCAAGAAAATGTGGGTTTTTTTTGTTAAAAAGAAATCAGTTCTATTAAACAGTATTTGAGTAGCAATAGAGAAGTACTAAGAGCCTTAAAAATAGAAAAGGCAATTGCAAAAGGTCTGCTTTCCATGAAGCTGGAAGCAGCACAGGAGAGAAAGGGAGGAGTGTTGGTATACAATGAGAAACTGCTATAAAGACTTCAAGAATATATTAGTTCTAGTAAAATAACTTTAGCTTTTTGTACTGAAAACAGCTGGAAAGTGAGAATTCCCTCATGAGAATATTCCATAAATGGGTCTATGGGGACCTAAAAACTTTATCACAGATTTTGCCACAGAAGAAGCATCCCTGTTCGGGACAGCATTGAAAACAGAATTTTTATGCTTGTGTGTAAGTAATTTTACTTAGTGCTCATAAATTTCGGATTTTCAGCATGGTTTTTTCCTTATAGAATCCCAGTGTTAAAGAGGTATTTGGTGGTTTTCGAAAGATTTCCAATCTGTCTCCTGTTGGCAAGGAGCAGTGAGCTCAGTCAGCTGTCTGCAGCCTGCTGAGTAACGATCCTCCAGCACTGCAGGGTGGGAGGGAATCCTGCACACGTACAGCTTGGGATTTCCACGGCACAGAAAGGAAATGCTGCGTGATGTGTATTTTCAGAGTGCTCTGTAAGTCTCAGTTGCAACAAAGCATTCAGGTATTTGAATTTGATATCCACGTCAGAAGTCTTTGAAGTGCATCTGTGCATGTTTGCATATACTTACAAAGAGGGACAAAATACACACTGAGAAAATGTATCCCTAAAAAAAAAAAAAAAAAAGAGGGTTGGAGCATATCCACACCAACTTTTAAAGTATAGAATAGAAAGTATATATAGAATAGCATAGAACAGAAAGTATAGAATAGAATAGCATAGAATAGAAAGTATACAAGTCTCGTGACAGATGAGTGCCAGGCCTAGGGCTAGGTTTTATCTTCAGCTGTTTCTGCAAATGGATGCTATTTGGAATGAAGTTCAGAACCTTTATCTGAGGCTTTCAAGTGTGGGAGAACGCTTCCAACATTTTCCAAAATCAAGCAGCACATCTGAATAAAATCAGTGATTTTTTATTTTTATTTTGTTAATGTAGCAGTGGCTCCAGTACCCTTTAAAAGCAATTTGAAAAAGTAACTAACAGTAACAAAAAAACCCACTGACTGCTCCCCCCACCGCTCCTGTAGATACAAACAGTTATTTGCTATGACAGACCCAGAAATGAGTGTCTCATTTTTTCTCATGCCAGATGTTCAACAGGACCATTCCTATTCATGACCCAGTGCACTGTTCAGGAAGACTAACGATTTCATAAACTGCTGCTTAGTTTTGTTTGTCACTTCCGTTGTTATTAGATATCTATGGCTGTTCTATGGCTATTCCTTACTATGCATTGTGGATTTCTATGGGATCCAGTGTTAATCCCATTTGCCCTTTAGTAAAAAAAACAATAATAACACACGCACAGTTTGAAATATCACTGTTTTCCTATTTTGGAAGCTAGTAGAGCAGATATGAACACTACAGGATCTCTTTTTGCTGAAATGAAGGCGTCAGTAAAATATGTTTTTTCTTATTCACCTAGACATCATTTTTAAACATAATCTTCTTCGGCTGGGGGCTTTCAAATGATCTTGCATATGTCCCATAGCTATGGATATGGTTGCTGCTTTTGTTGCTATGATTGCAGACAGCTGTAGTGGCTGCCTACCTGAAGATAGAAGAAACAATACATCACATGCAACATGCATTACTGAACAGAGTGTAGGACTGGGGTTCTTTTTTTCTCCTTTCATTGATTGAACATAAAACTAACTGCTTTCCAATGGCTGTTAATGCCTTTTTGGTCATATTTTATGGCAACTTAATGACAACTGCAGTTTTGTTTACTCTGGCAGTAATTATTTGTTGTGCTTTCATGCTGTGCTGCTGATCAATTTTAAGGAATTCAGCAAGCTAAAAGCAGAGAGAGGTCATGGCATCTTTGACTGGAAGCAAAAGCTTTAGGTGTTCATCATAGAGTCAAGGCACCAAATGTGATATGACCTGTGATGCAAAACTGTTTGCTTTAAATCCTGTTTTAGTCTGAGATCTTATCAGTCAATTTGGATTTTAGTAATAGCCATTAATAATCTTTTCATTTCTGATCATTCATGCAGTGTAAGGAAGAGGTTTATCATTCTGCCCAGAGGCTGAACCAGCAAAGACAGCAAAGCCAATGTGATTCATACAGTGAAGATAGTGGCAATTACCACCAACTTGATCACGTTTTGCCTTGAACAGCTGGTAAGTCAAGTTCAGTTTTCATCATATATATTCTTAATTATTAGTTCAAGTATAAAATTGTTTAATGAACATATTTAAGAGCATGTAAAGTGCAGAATGGTATCTTAGCTTTGGTTTTCCTAAGATCTGAAGTTAATTCTTTTACAGCTATGCTGTGTCCTAGCTTACCTGTAGATACAGTGCAGCAGTTTGTGCCACATAGAACATAATGTATAATTTAGGTATTTTTTTTTGCTCTGAAATATGATTTTGAAAGGACATGGATGTCCTAAGAGGACATTATGTCAGTATTTACCAATCCCCCCCAAATGCTTTTACAAGGATAACATTTTTATTTGACCTTTGAAGCACCCTGCTGTTAGGGAATAAAAGGTTACTTCAGTGCTTTGATGTGAAAGCAGAAATCAGATCACAAAGAACAAGCTACAGTACGTGCAGTGAGAATGTGCGTATGAAGACTTCTGCCACTGGTCTGGTTAATGCTATACCAGAGTTGTAGTCACAAAGATGAGGTGTGTGTTAGTGGTTAATTCCAGGGTAGTTTCCCCAGAGATTCAGGTTATTTATTATTGGAACCATTGCCATAAGCTTTTTTTTTTAATTCTTGGAAATGCAAAAATCACACTGAAGGGCTGCTGCTGTTTTTACCCTGGTCAGTTCTGCCCTTTTCCAAGAAACAGTGCAATGTGCTTGTTGTAGTTTGTGACTTGCTATAAGAATGCTAGTAAGATCACTCAGGGCTGCTCTGAACCGTGCTGAGATCTCCTTACTTGTTTCATTTTGACCTATGCTGGGTATGTGCAGAGGTGTCCATACGTAAAAATCTCCACTGGGTCCATTCTGGACATCACCTGTTTCTAAACTTTTAGTCTGGGATATGCTGTAACAATATTAGTTGTCCCAGTGATGTTTCAGGTCTAGCATCTTTCAATGAGAGTTGTTACTTCAGACTGCACAGTGTAAAATCCAAACCCACGCCTGATGGGTGATGTGAGGACAGTGTCCTCATATTGGAGCAGGGGGCACAAATGACCTGAATTTGGAGCCTTAACTTACTCTTACAAAATGGCTTACATCTATAAAAATGAAATGCTGGTGTTCAGTGAAAAAGCAACAGAATTATGTAAGTTGATCTTTGTTTTTGTTATTACTTATTTTTGCCTGATCCTATTTCCATTGGTCCCTTAGGAGTCATTTTAACAGCTTACTAAGATCCCCTTACAGAGGTTTTCTAGACTATGCAGCTTGCATTTACCTTTCATTTTTTTCATTTCATGCCTTGTATGTGATTTGAAAACATGTGAAGTATGATGATCTTCAGTACTGTTTTGCATCTCACTGGTCAAAAATGCAGATAATTTGCTTTAGATAATTCCAGCAGTTGCTTTGTTTCCCTGCATTTGTTCCACACATTGTTACAGTGTTCTGATAGTGTCAGCATACAGAAAACAAACACACATTTGTATTTTTTGAGTCATTTCTGATGCACTGATTCTGTGTGGATAGCAAAGATGCCATCTGTTGTATTGTTGGATAGCTGCATTTTCTACAGAATTTAGTTTCTCCTTAGATTTGCTGGTTCCTAATGGAAGAAAAACTTGAGATTTTAGAGAGGACTGATAAAGGCATAAGTTATGTTGACTTTAATAACAGGTATTTTTTGTTTGGTTTTAGTAATACCACGGTAGGTTTGAGAAGTCCTATTAAGTGGATAAAGCTAATTTATTTAATGTAAACTTATTAAAGGTCTACACAGCTTCTCAGTAAGTTTCCCATTTGGCCTACAGGCTTAATGAAGCTTGGAACCTCTCCATAATGTAATATCATGACAGTTGGATGTACTGAATCTGCTGCTTTTGGTATGAAAACAAAATCCCAAAGCAAACACAGTGAAATATGCTAAGCTAGGATTGAATTAAGTGTTGGTTGGATCTACTTGTGTTTTTCTTGTCCTCTTCTTTATGATATTAGGGTTTGTACAGTGAATGCAAATTGTTCTCTCTCATGAGTTTACTATTACCTGAGTGGTATTTGGAATCAAATGGCTTTGGAATACCGAAAATTTCTTTATAAACATACTTAAAACTGTGCATGAAAGGGATTTTTGCCATAGAAGTCTTGCAATATATTCCAATGATACAGTTCTGATCAATGGTAGTGTAAGAAAACCTCGTTGAGCAGCTGTTGTTTTTCTTCTAGAAACCACTAGGTGAAAATGACACAGCAAATGCAGAATTTAAGTCTCCTCCAGAGTAAAAAGAACAGTATGCCATCTTCTCCAAATGCTGCAAAGCGATTGTATCGGAACCTGTCAGAGAAGCTGAAGGGGAGCCACACGTCCTTTGATGAAGCATATTTCCGAGCGCGCTCGGACCGGCTCAGTCTCCGTAAGACCTCGATGGTAAATACCTGACATTTTTCAGCTTGTCAGTTCCCTCCCTATAAATCTGTGTGCTTTTCATCATCACAATTCATCTGTTCCCTGACCAATATTCCCTGCTGTATATTCTTTTCAAGCTTAAATCTGTTTTTGATTCTATGTCAAAATACAGTCTGACCTTCTTGAAGGCCAAAGCAACGTACAGTGATGTTGCTTTATCTTAGGAGTAAGATCTTAACTTAGCATTAAGGTTGGTCAGAGACTGTGATGAAGGTCTCTAGATAAGACTGTAAAAAGATTACATAGGAAGCAGTGTAGCCTGGGTGCTCTACACCATACAGAACAGAGCCAGGCATTCTAGTGCTAGAACAGGAAAGCATGTTTGTCTCCACTGGGCTTAGTACTCACAAGTGCTCCTACTTGTGCCAGAGCTGGTGAAGCTGAACAACCTACAGCATATGCATTTTGAAGAATGGGATGTCTGTGAAGTAATAACAGCGTAAGCTCAGTGCATAACAGAATCTTTTATATTTGCTGGAGGAAAATAAATCTGCTGTTGATATTGCCATTTAAAAAAAATAATCCTCTTTTCCATAAGTAGGAACACATCTGTCATCTTCTCTTCTGAAAGATTTTGAGGGAGATCCTCTCCACTTATGAATAGTAGTGACATAGGACATGTGTGCAAATGTGCCAGAAGTCACATCTTGGAGCCATTACTCTGATGTACTAAAGCAGATGCTTTATCTTCTGACCAGTGCATCTCTAAATATACATTTCTAATTACATGTTCCTTCAAATATGTATTCCCCTGTCATGTTTAGGTGATGAGAAATGGCAAATGAAGATAGCCCAAAGTCTGAGGAGCAATGCACTGTTGAGGCCTCAATCTGCTATCCACAGAGCTATTTACTTATGGTCCCACTTACCTCCCTTTTCAGTGCAGATCTATCAGGCTGTGATTGAATAGTGCCTATTGAATCAATTTAATGAGGAGAATCAATTTTACACTGTTATATTGATGGTTTAATGCAATAGAGACTTCAGCTAACTTTTTCACCACAAGCACTACACTACTGTGTGAGTGATGCAGCTTTTGTCACTGCAGACCTACCGTGAGTGTAAGCATCTCTGGATATTACCAGCTGGTGTCCACAAGAGTCAGTGAATAAATTCCCACTGGACTTAAAAGGTTTTGGGACCCTTTCTGTCTGTTATGCCTGGTTTTTTTCAGTTTTCCCTAGAAATAAATGGCAAGCAAACCACCAGTTAAGGGCTGGAAATATTCCAGGTAGCTAGCTGATGTATTTTCTAATCATTGAATTTCTGTGGTACAGAGGTAAGTCAGTGACTAAAAGCATGTCTCCAGACAAGTGAGTAACATTTGTTAGAATTTGATGATTCTTTTTTTCCCCAGTTTTGGCTGGTGAAGAGTTTTCTTTCCATTCTCTCTTACTGTGCAACACTTTCCATTCAGTAAATTGTTGTCTTGCTGCAGACATAGCAATGTCCCAAAATAGCTTTATTCTTGAACTCATGTTTATCAAAACAAGTCTTTGCAGAAACTACTTTAATGTTTTTTTCCAACTCCAGTAGCACATAGTAGACTTTTTCAGGCTAACCTAGAGCAAATATCTTGAAAGGGGTACTTCATTTTAATTAAGCTACGTAAGATTGCATTTCTAAACACTAACAGCCCTGAATCACTTACTGGAACATGGTTATTACTTACTGCAAAGCAATACTGTAGTTCTTTTCAGTATATATATTTGTGCACTGGTGTAACACCTAAATAAATTAATCACATAGCACAGCTGCCTAGCTAACGATGAGAGGCTGCAAGTCCGCATCAAGGAAAAAGACATGTCTCTAAACCTTACCTGATCATTGTAAATGGGATTGAGTTTCTCTTTGAATTCAGTGACTTTGTCTAATCAGAGAGGAATAGAAATATCTAGCAAATGAAAATGAAGGCAGAAATCAGAAGGGTCTTGTTAATATTAGTGACAATTTGATTGAAACTGAACACGTGCTTCTAACAACAGTACATCTTACCCCCATCTGAGGTTCTTAGCCCTGAACTGCAAACATCTGAACAATGCTGCGATTCTAGAGTCACTTATATAAGAATACAATCAGCTTTACTGCAGCAGAGAACAATATAATATTCAAGTATATTCCTATTTTCTATGTGAAAGCAAATAGTTGTGGAAAAGTTGGTCAGGAGCACAGAACATTTTCTGGGCTTGGAAAGCCGGGCTCAGTGCAGGCTTTCAAATGGGACAATTATTAGCATGGCTGAAAATGTGGTAGTTATTTCACTGTCTCACCAGGGTGTTTTTTTGAGTGAAATAAGTCTGTTATGGTTAGATGCACGCTACTGTGTGGATGAGGGATACATACATGCCTATTTGGAAATGTCATATCATAATTCCATGTTTTTACAATCTCTGAAGTTACAAGAAACGCCAACATATTTCAGACTAATGGTTGTGTCTGAATTGTTCATTTGGAAGACCTGATATTTACAATTTGGTCTGAAAATTATTTGGATTGGAAGAAGTAGGTTATAAACTTAATGCTCTGTTTAAACGAGTGCAACTTTTTCAATTCGATTTCTAATGAAATGAAGAAATAGCAATTTGGTTGTATTTTTTTTCATTTTTGGTGGAATGTTTGTGCCAGTAGATTCCCTGGCCAGAGCATTTATCAGGAACTAACTTAAGCATGTGCTTATATTTTGTACGGCAAATGACTTCAGGAGAAAACTTCAGAAATACTTTAGGTATTTGGGTTGGCAAGTGAAAATCTGATGATGCATTTTTAAAGACATCTATGCAGGTTTAAGTCTTGACAATGAATCCAACAATAACAAGTCAAATCAAAGTTTGGAAAATAATTCTACAGGAATTGTTCAGGTAGGTAAAATCTTTTGTCAGAGTACGTATCTGTGCTTGGAAAAGGGCCAAATGCTTCTGTCAGCCACATCACAGTTAATTTCAGCTGCAATACTGAATGCAGGCATCTTCCTTATTATGTAACAGGTCTTTTTGTTCGTTCTTATGTAATGCAAGAAATTTCTGCTATGCAGTACAGACTGATGGAGTTTCACGCAGAATTGGAATTAAAGCTCAGTAATGGTCTGCAGCCCTTTCGGTGGCATTCTACAGATGATAATTCACTGAACCTTTCTGCACAATCACGAGGCCAATGAAAAGAGGGGACTATTTTGATTTAAGAAAGAAATGGAAACAGTGCACATACCCAGAGCCACAGAAGTGAAAATCTGAATGGAGAAATACCTAGTTTCCTGTTCTGAATCCGTACCACAAGTCTGTCACTGATTAATACAACCAGCTCTGCCTTTCTTTTCTGCTCCCCAAGTGATTGCCAGTGTTTCTTCAAATGAACTTAAGGAATAGAAATGAGGTCTAATGTAGTCATTCTGTTTAGTTCAACTAATCACCTTTGTAATAAGCTCTTTATGAATTAACTGTTAAGTAAGTTCATTTTCTGTGATCACTTACAAGAGCAATTTGTTCTTGCTTATTTTCTGATTGCATGAGCATGGAGATGCTTCTGAAGCATAATTCCATTTATTTCTTTAAATAGCAGCACAGGGGAAGTTCCAAAGTAAGTAGGAAAAGAATTTGAAATGAGTTTAAGCTGAGATGAAACTAATGTCTTTTATAAAGTAGATAAAATATATTAACCATTTCACCAAAAATACCTACTTTTCCAATCAGTCATGTGAAAAACAATCTTCCATTTCACAGTTACTCGACTGAAATAATGACATTTCAAAAATCTAAAGAGCATGGCCTTTTTACTTCAATCAATGCACTGTTTATGGTAATTCTGAGTCCATAGTACAGTGATGTGCAGCTGTTAAATGTAGAGAATTGACTTGAGTGGGAGTCGATGCCATTTAGCACGTGTAGAATAGCACAATTAATTAAAATATTTTGTAATTAAATTAAACTAAGCCTCTTTTGGTTTCTAGCTAGTGCACCTCATCTCTTTGGACTGGGGGGAAAACACCAGAATATGGCTAAGATGTGTCATCTTGGAGCAGATTTGTGGACTACTGGAATAAAAGAAAACATTTCTGCATTGCAGTAACAATTTGTCATTTTTAACTTAAAATAATAGATATCTGACCTCCATTCCAACCTTCACTGGGGATGTAATGTATACCATCTAATGATGGTATACATCCTGAAGGACAATTTTTTTTTTCCCTTGAACAGAGGCATAAATAGAGAATAGATAAATTGAGCTGCTCACCATTTAGTTTATTCTCAGATTTTTCTCTTCCACCTAACACTGAAGTAGGATCCTGAGTATTTGACAGTAAAGTGACATATGAGTCCCAGAATCTAGAGAAGAATCTGAAAACAAGAACTTGATAGACACCCATTTTTTATGAAATGCTTGTGTAAGTATTGTCTTTTATTCTGCTTGGAAATCTACATATAAACTATTTCTCCAGAGTGAGTTATCTTTTCTATTCAATAGTCTGAGAGGTTTATTTCCAAGTCAGCACTGGATTTACTTTCTTGTTGCTCAGTTCATGTCATCCACATACAATCATCAAACTGAAGTATCTCATTTCTCTGTATTGGAAATCTGGGGTAACCTTTTGGTTCTGCTGATTCCTAATACTCAGCATTTTAAACTTCAAAGGCAACATAATCTTTGCAGTTTCTTAGTGTGATATGAATACTTTACATCCAAAGCAGTAGATGGAAAGATCTGTCAGGTCATACAATATTTGAAGAGATTTCTAAGTTTAAGCATAACTGAAAAGGCCAGATCAAGTTCCAGCTTGTAGCTGTGTACTCATGTTTTCAGAACCACTTGTAAACCATTAGTCTGTGTATTCTGGGAGGAAATGAAAGATGTTCAGCAGATCAGTGCTGTCAGAAAGTGGTGTTTCACTGAAGGCTTAGGCAAGGGTATTCCAAATTAAAAATGCATCTGTTAAAAAAGGAAACATAATTTTTCTTCTGTGGGTGAAATGTTGATGTCTAATCACAATGGAAGACAGCTTCAATTCACTGTTTAATTCATACAGTAACAAAAAAGTTGCTGTTTAATAGTCACTGTGTTTCTTCTATTGTGGGTTCTGGGATGCAGGAAACCAGTTTACATCCATCTGCATCACTTGATCTCTTACGTAAGCGTTTTTTAGTACGTCCTTTGGCACAGTATTTCTGCATAGACCTCAGTTCCATTATGAGACCACAAGCTGAGCCCTCCTTGCTTAGCTGGGCCTCTTGCTTCTACTGATTCATTCTTAAGAGGAAAAAAATAAATAATTGTGGCAAGAGGACACTGGGAAAGAATTTAAAGAATCCTGGCAAATACCATAATTACTGTAGGCTCTGGAAGGATGTTCTCATAACAGAAACCTTCAGACCATGCTATCCTCCTGCACCTCCTTCTCCCCCGCTCTATTAGGAAGTGAAAGCTGTTTGGGTTGTTGTTTGTTTGTTTCGTATTACACAGTTCTTTTACCTCCTTGACTTTGGTGAATAGAAAGTTTAGTGGCTCCTCCTGCTTGAGAGTTGGCATCACGTGTGCCCCTGATTTTTCTTACTTTTGAGCTCATGTTCTCTGCTGTTCAGACATGTCTTTTTCTGATCAAGCACAGTGGAGGATCAGTGCATTCAGTCTCATTTCTACATCTTTATTTAAGGGCTATATATTTCAAAGCTTCTTCTAGCTACAAGCTAAATACAAAAATATGAGCAGTGAGAAATGACTGAAATGTTGGAGTGAGCACGAGATCACACCACACCTGTGAAAGTTTCTCCCAGAATTGTTTTATTTGACTTCTGGTTAGTTGAGTTTGTACACCTGAGGTTTTTACTTCAAATTTTGAGAATGAAAAAGTAAGTAGTACAAGAACCTTTCAAAATCATAGTCTTTCATCCAGCCTCACATCAAAAACATACCCTGTTGCCCATATGGTCAATTTCAGGTCCAAAAAAGAATGATGGGTTTGAATCTCACCTGAAAGAGGCTCAAGCACGCAGGTCTAGAAGTAGAGCAAGCTCAGTTTTCCTGCAAACATCTTCCATGTTTCTAGCTGAACTTAGGATGGGAAGGTTCAGTATTTTATAGTAATGTCACAAAAGTCATTTCCATAATTTATTTCCTAAAGGTCAAACATTTTCAAGTTCTACTGAATTTCTGTTTTTGCTGGTACACAGAATTTCCAGTGCAATGAAGCTATGTTTGAGGCCGTAGAACAGCAAGATCTGGATGCTGTTCAGATCCTTCTCTATCAATACACACCAGAGGAACTGGACCTGAATACTCCAAACAGTGAAGGACTTACTCCTTTGGATATTGCTGTTTTAACTAACAACATCCCTATTGCTAGGACTCTTCTACATGTTGGGGCAAAAGAAAGCCCACACTGTAAGTATTCAGTTTGAATGTTTTTAGATAATTCTGTAATAATTAGGTTTGCTTTTGTTTGGGAAAATTAATTGTGTTACAAAATCTGACTTTTTTTTATCATGAAGCTGATTATACCTGAAATAGCTGCACAGTGCTGGAAGGATATTTGCAGAATTATCTCCTTGTTGAACGTGTGCTCAGCAGATAGTTTTTGTTCCCTATGTAAGGTAGAGTAAGTATGAATCCGATTGAACTTCTAACCTAATAAACAGTGAGGCAGCTGAGTTAATATCAATACTGAAAATAAATCTTCAAAAATATGGAAACAGGAATGGAGTGATCATGGTCTGAAACAGAGGTTGTCATTAAAAATGAAAAGAGTATGGGTATCTGGGCTATGGTGTGTTTTGGTTATTTTGATCTTGGTTATGCTGCCTTCAGAAGGCTGGTTGTGTTGAAATCTATCGTTTCCATTACTTCAGACTCCTGCTCCTATCTCCTTCTCTTCAAATAGCCTCGACGAGAGTTTCCAAGCTGTAGAGAAGCAGAGGATATCTGAGCACAAAGCAGACCTTCACACTTCACTGGAATGCTGTCACTGCTTATAACTGCGTATTGTAGTTATAGAACTATCCTTTGTATTCCTTCACGGGCATTTAAATGCACAATTTGTGGGCTGCAGGGTGACTTACCAAACCAATTAATCAACCGTAAACCATGACACAAACTCTGACGCCTTACTTATGTCTAAAAATACACCAATGTATGTGAATTTGTTTTAAACTGTCAATGCCTATATTTAGGACATTCCCAGCAAGGCTATAATGAGACTGTGTTTGAGGGGTTCGGCCACTGCAGACTCTGCCATTAATTTGAAGTTAGTTAAATTAACAACATTTAGTGCTGGCATGTCAATCTCAGTGCTGCAGGAAATTGCACCTTGAGGCTACTAACATTGCCAGTTTTTTCACTGGAGAGCGTGTGTGCATGTGTGTGTGTGCATGTTGAGTTTTTTTTGCCAGACCCTCAGTGTTGGTACACCTTTATTGCTTTTCTATGTCCACAGCACTTATATTATCATTTATTCTGGCCTCCTTTAACCTTCCCTGGAGATTTTTGCATAGTGTAGCTGCTCAGTGAAAAGATTTTTTTAGCTTTATATTTATTTGTTTATTTTTCTGTCATGGTTCATGACTGAGGCTTTAAAAAAAAGTGTGACAGCATTTAGAGTACATGATTGACTGCTGAAGCAACATTCATTAACCATGACAAATCTAGAGGAAAACACAGTCTTGAGTGTTCTAAACAGCAGTAAAAAAGACTAAACTAATTTTTCATTGACCTCATCTGTAAATAAATGCAGTCTGATGGCGAGCAGGGGCAATCATAAATTAGTATTCATTTCCTGTAATTAATGCAAACATGCCTATGAACACAGAGAATATGAATATATAACCACCTCATTTCCATTTCAAAATATACCCACCAAATTTCCACTTCACTTATCTTGATTTTTAGCTTTTCTGATTGAAATAATGGTCAAAATGTCCTCAGTAAAAAGCAGAGGGCTGTTTTGGTGTGTTTTATTTTTTAATTTTCAGCTTAATGATTTACAGTTGCTACTTAGGAACAAAATGCAAAAAAAAGTTATTTTCAGCACTTAAAACAAAAGTCTGCAGCAGTTTCCTGTGAGACTTTAATCTTGGGGAACAGACAGCAGTCACTTCCCCCCCCCCTTAGTGTTCCTGCTTTCTTTTCTGTACCTAACCAAGCCTTCTAGAATTAAACCCATTCTGTATGATATTAGGCCTGCAAGGATATGATTAGAACCCAGCAGGAGCATTTTCATTTCACTGTGGTGATCAATTGAGCAAGACTTTGCCGGGCTAAGTGGGAGGGGTGGGATTTCAAGGTAAGATTCTGACTCGTACCGATTTTGGGACAGGACACAAACATCTTTTAATCTGATTGTAAGCGGGTGCATGGCACAAACACACACTTGAGAAGCTGAGGTAAATGATTTCCCCACCGCAAGTGCACACAGGGAGCTTCTCACAGAGAGAACTCTTGTTCTTCTGCTATATTAGACATAGAGATCAAGTTGAAATTTCACTGCAGCATCAGTGCTGTAGGAGAGAGGATCTGAAGGACAGATAGCTTGCAGCTGCCTGGAATGGGCAGAACAGCAGATAAAAGAACAGAAAGTAAAACTCTGATCTCCTTTTCCACATGGACCTCAGGCTGTATAAATCTTAACAGGAGCCCAGCATTTCTTAAACATGAAGCAGGATCAGAAATTGCAGCATTTAGAATATTAATTTAGTGGGGAGGAAGCGAGACATTTGCTCTTGTCAAAGCCCACTGCATTATTAATCTTTTCAGTTGCTTTTGTTCGCATATTTGTGGTCTGGCTAGGTTTGTTCATGTGAACCTAAATATAAATAAGATTAAAATTTCCAACGACTGATTTGATACATTTCCAAGACCAGACAACTGTGGATCTGAATCGTGATGAAAGAGAGAGAGCCAGATCCTCAGTGAAATCTTGAACCAATGCCAGCCTACAATCACCTGAAGTTCTGGCACATAAAATCTCCTTTCTCAGTCCTGTTTTGCTATCAGATGTGTTGCACGCTTATTGTAGGCATGAAGCCAGGAAACTGTCACCTTTGGCCTCTCAGTAAACAGCCAGTTGTGAGGACCAGCAGATTCCAGTAAGCCTGGCCTCTTGATGTCCATACAAAGAATGATCAAACTTCAAGAGGGATGGCTACAGGCCAGCGTCTTAGAAACAGCCATTCTTCAAAAGCAACCTTTGGATGTCAGAGGTGCTGGGTAATTCTGCACTCTCCTCCTGTGGTTTTAAAGATTCCTTGTCAGTTTTCACATTATTGTGCAGCATTATACTTAGACTATGATAGGTTTCAATGGTGATACGGTTACACGAGACAAATGATAAAATTAAAATGAGGTTCAAACTGGATAAAGCAAACACCTTTTTCAATCACAGGTCAGTAAAGCAGTTGTACATATTGCTCAGAGAGCTTGTAAAGCTCCATCTCAAGAAGTTTTCCAGGCCAGATGGGTAATTCCTCAGAAACTTGGCCTGAACTTGCATCTTGTTTTCAACAAGAAGCTTGAACATTAAATTTTGAACAAGATAATTAGAAAGGCCCTTCCAACCCAATTTATCCTGTAATCCTATGATTCCAGTTTAGGAACTATACATTCATATGTGCATATATGATCACTCGTTATGATGTCAAAAGCCAGTCAGCCTTGGTCCCTTATGTCAGCTTCATGTTGTCAGAACCATATACTGCTCCTGGCTTATGCAAGTAAATGGTGGTGAAGCCTGTGCAACACTGCTGCTGTTCGTATTAAAAACACAGGCAGACTAGCAGGCTGGCTGTCCCTACACAGCAACACTCCATTATTGTTAAGAGGAGCATCTTGTGCCAATTCTAAATAAATGTGAATCCTTGTGAAGTGTTTTAAATAAATAAGGGGTTTTGTTTAGAACTGTCTCAAAGCTCGTCTGCAAAATCACCAGGCACCACAGAAAAGCTGCTTTCTGTGACTTCGGAATTTTTTTTCTTGTATGTTATTTCCTGTGGATTGAACATCAGATAAATTCTTGCACTGCTCAGATTAAACAGCTTTACAAATCCTATTTTCTAAACTGTTAATAGTTTGAACAATTTCAGGCTAAAAGCAGTTCTGAAAAATAGCATTTGATTCACTACATTTCTCTGTATCATCAAGGGCTGGTGTAGGGCAGTCTTGTGGACCTGGGCTAAGAATTTTAGTTTATATCCAATGTGGCTGTCATTTTTCACACTTATACAGCACACAGTATTTCATACAGGCAATTCATACTAATTAATGTTGAATTAAAATCATTCTGAGCACTTGAGACTAACAAAGTCTCCACGCGTCAAACAGCTCACGATCCGTCAGGTCTGTCAGAACTGATTACAGGCCGAAGTAAAGGGCAACACTGAGGCACAGAGATAACTGGAAAGAGAATCACTGTACTTCAGCTGTGGCCCTTAAACACAAAACTCTCATTCTTAACTTTGCCAGTTAGGTCTCTCTCCACTTGTAGAGATTTATATATTGTGTATTGTTTTTAGCTATAACCAACACCAGTTTCTTTCTTCCTGAGAGACATATGATGCATATGACATATGAAACATATGGTATTATGGCAAAGTAAGAGTTAGAGACCAATTTCTTTATTATTTTACTTCTTTTATAGTATTCTATCAACCTAAAACATGTAAGCAATTTCAGGCTCATTAAGACATTGTTAAGCTTTTGAGAAACACCAGAGATAAAATCTACTGTTTATTCGTGTCATTATCCCATTTAAGTGGCCAGATCCTTAAGTGTGGTACAAATTGGTGTGGCTCTAATCAGGTTGATGACAAGGTATCTGTTGGAAGGCACAGCGTTCAAGGATTTGGCCTTATGTGGGTTATGTTGGAATGCATAAGGCCAGAATTTTGTCACATGAGACCATGAAGCAATTATTTACTTTTCCCTTTTCTTGGTAGTTGTTAACATGGAAAGCAGGTCAGTGCATCTGTGTACATTGGTCCAGGAAGCACAGCAGCGAGTTACTGAATTGTCTGCACAAGTGATGAATGAAGGCCTTGGTACAGACAACACAGAAAAAGAGAAGCAACTAAAAGCATGGGAATGGAGATACAGGCTATACAAGCGCATGAAGGCAGGCTACGAGCATGCTAGTAAGTAGAAGAAAGTAGCTGCAAAGTTTAAGACAAGAACTCTTATGGTGGCGAAAACTGCCTTTGCTGAGCAAAGATGATCCTCACAGCACTGCTGTGAAGCAGATGAATGTTAGGGTGGGAAAAATAAGGCGCTCAGTTAAATGGTCTTCCCAAAAGTGAGAAGGAAATTTGATACTAGTTCCAGAAAGGACCGAGCATCTGAGAGCAGCAAGTGTAAAACTGATGAGATTACAGATTCTTAGTTCAGGACCTAATGATTCTGTCTTGTCTCTTCACATTTACTTCTGGATGTTATTTCATATGATCAGAGTTTAAAATAAGACAATTAGAATATATGAATACGGAGGAAGTAATAGAGGAACAGTGGTCTTTTTCTGTTGTTGTACTCTATTTTATTAAATAGTTCTGACTTAAAGTAGTTGAGTTTTTCTTAATATTTGGTTTAAAATGAACTTAGATTTTTCGTATAAAAATTATCAATACTTATTTTTATTGTTGACATCTACATGTGACGTTTCATCAGCATAGTTACAAATTGGGCTACATGGGGTACAGAACTGTTTAAAGAAAATGGGAATAAAAAAAGAAATAAGCAGGACTGAACGCTTTCATATTTGGATCTTTTAGCTGTACCCTTCCTCTTCAATAAAATACAATCATTGCCATTAACATTTTTACAGCCACCTTTATATATGTATGCACTTGGAAAAATTGTCTCAATTTTATTGTATTTTCTCAATTTTATTGTATTCTAAGACTGTTTCTTCAAGACAGAGGTAGTGCCCCTTGTATTAGATATTAAATACAGCCCAATACAGCAGTAAGTTAATAAAACGATTTTTTTAATCAGTTCCAGCAGTAAGTCATGACATTTTATGTTTGATTTCTGAATTGAGTCTGATTGATATTCTGTGAACTCAGCTTTTTTAAAACAAACAAACAAAAAAACAAAAAACAACGACAAAACAAAATAATAATAGTAAAAAAAAATTAGGCCTCAACTGACAAATGTGTTTTGGAACTACTGCACTGAAACATTTGTGGAATCTGCAATTTCTGAATCGCAATAACGTAAAAAGGTTTTCTGTCATTTAATAAATTCGAATTTGTTAGTGAAACTATAAAAGTTTAATTAGCTCTTTGTGGTTTTGTCCTTTCTCTCTCTTCCTACCCACCCCAAGAGATTTATAGGGGCTTTTCATTGACATAATTAGCATGAATCTGTTTTATTAGGTTACATATATGCAGGAAGATATTTTTAACTGAAAGGAGCCAAAAACCATGATAGAAACAAATGGTGTCTGCAGGATATTGTTAGCAGGGCACTAATTAAAATTCTCAAAAGGCAGAGAACACAAACACCTACAACCCAAAGCTCACAATTGCAGGGTGATTTTCAGTGGGTTCTTTGAAGACTCAGAAACATTGTTTGAATAGGATTTGTTGTGCTGAAGAGCTGATGTTTTCTCTTCTCTCCCAGGAGCCCCTGAGGCGCCAACCAATGTCTGTCTCATGGTAACAAGCAGTACATCACTCACTGTCACCTTCCAAGAACCTCTGAGTGTCAACTCAGCTGTGGTGACCAAGTATAAAGGTACTGGATTTAGATATCTTTCATTTGCCTTAACAATCTGTAAACCTTTGATGGCCAAGTGAAAAAGGTGTTTTCGCTAGAAATGTCTGACTTTAATTATTTTCATAAGAAATAGCTGTACAAATTGAATGTTCTTTTAAGATTCCTTAAAGACAAAGTTTTATTTAAAAAGGAAAAAACAACAAACAGAAGCTTTCTTCTTGAGTGCTTTGAAGGAGTTTGCTTGATGTTCTGTAGTTAAGCTCAGTGACTGGGTTGACATGAGTCAGCTATGCAATGCAGACTAGCTTTTGGTGCCTGTGGGCTTCTGAAACTGTATGTATCCTTGTAAATGCCAAACCCACACCACAGTTCCTTGAAGGAATGCCTCTGGAAGTTGAAACTTCTGGCAGAGGTATCATACAGCCCAACTAATTAGGTATTCCAGGGCTGCCACATCATTCTTGGAAGAGCTATACATATGGAGTGGCACCAGTTGCAAAGTGGAATGAATAGGAAAATGCTTCCATGTGAATAGCTCTGTTGAGTAGAAAATAATTTCTATTCCATAGGAAATTCCAATCAAAAACAAACAAAAAAAGTTTTATCAAAGATTGAAATCAAAATGTTCTGATTTAAGGGAACTTGCTGGTTCTCTAAAATGATTGGAACAGTGAGTTCCTCAATGTTTAATGGAGCAATATGCAACCTCCAGTTTTAACTAGGAACGTGGGTCCTTCCACAGGTAAAGGGACTTAAAAGTACTTCCTGAAGATCTGAGGCCGCCTTTGACTGCTCCAGGGAATAGCTGAGAGTGGAGACCCAGAAAGTCCTCTTAGAGTGGGTTTTGATACGTGTAGGAGGAGCTATGATAGCTGGGTCTGGGGCAGTGTCTTTCCTATTTCTGTGTATAGGTGCCACAGCGATTGCTTCGACAGGAAATATGCAGAGAGCTGCAGTAGAGCAAGTGCCCAGCAGTTCATTAAGTTCCTCTAGAGTGGGACACGCCAGTGCACAGCCTTCAGTGGCATCACAAGCACCCAAAGGACTAAATGAGATTATTTTGGAAAAGGCATGTTTTCTTACCTCTCTACTTCTGATTTGAGATGCCAGTCATCATTGGCTATGCTCAGTACACTTTTTTTCATAGTGCAAGGAAAAAAAACTCCCAGACATCACTAAAACAATCAAAGTGATTCCATTCCTGATAGCCTCAGTAGAAGGGTAAATGACTGTATTACACCTAGTCAGCCTTGCAGTGCTGCAGGAAGTGTTATTTGCAAAAACATCAAAGACCTTTAGGAGACTAAATCGAATTTTAAACAATGGGTTGGGTTGCCAGGAAACTAAATTTCATTTAAAGGCTTCCTACTGCCTGATTTACTTGTGAATATGATACTTGGGCTCCTAAAAGACTTAACTCTCTTGAAAATATTAGCCTGCTCTTTGTAATATGCGGATTTTAAACAAATCTGAAATGTTGTCCAGATTCTCATTATAACAAATGTTGATATTTTCACAGTAAAGACAATTCCCAGATAGAGCTGATTTTTAAATCAGAATATTGTTCCTAGTTTTAAAGATTGCAGTATTTTTATCTTGCTAACTCGGCTGTGTTGAGCATGGTTTGCACCTATCAGTTCTGTCCCGTTATGGTAAGTACACCATAAAGAGAATTTGATCCAACTTGACCCAACTTTCCAATCAGACGAGGTGGCATTGCTGTCATATTTTGAATTACTCTCGTTGGTCATCGTTTTATGCTACATCAAGTTGACAGTTCTGGCAGAAAGTTCTTTTTAAATCCTCTGTCCCACGAGAATTGAATATTTATGGTTAGATAAAAAGAAAGATAATTAATAGCTTCTTTTGGTGACTTTTGGGAATTAATTAAGCACTGGTTGTAGAACTGCTTATTACATTATGGAGTGAGATTCTTCATGCTAGTTTTAGAGGCTGTAAAAAAGAAACAACCATTGAAATGATCACTTGTACGAATGATTGGAACCAGCTAGCAATTAGCCTGAAAGGAGATCTTGATAACATTGTCTGAGCATCTTTTCAGTCCAAGTATTAAGCACTTATGCAGAAAGCCATCTAAGTATTTTACTGACTCAGAGAAGAAAGTGAGCTGTTAGGCTTTATTTCCCTCGTTACTTTACCATTTCTTTTTCTAATAAAAGATCAGGAGCATTTGTAGCAGTGTATAGGGAATACCTGCGCATTTACAGAAGCTAATAATGTTCTTTTATATGGATCTGAATTACAGAGGATAAAGCTGACATAAAACTAGACTTTTGTTCAGTCCAGTTTTGTTCCCTAAAAGCACCGAAAAGCTGCCAATTCCTTTTCTTCTGTGTCATCCTTTTTTTTTTTTTTTTTTTTTTAACATATTTTTCCAAAGCTTTACTTGCTCAAATGTCATTTAGAAACTAGGCTTGGAACGTTATCTAGCTGTCTGCTATTTTCCTGTGTATGACTTTTCCCTTGTTAGCTGTATAACTTACAAATAATAATACAGGAGAATAATACTTTGCACTCACTCTCTAACCACTAAAACCATCTCACTTCATTAGGAGATTTAATTTTAACCACACACGGTGAATGAGTATTGACTTTGGTGTCCCAGCTGGATGGCAGTTCAGCGACTGCATTCTGTTGAGCCATTGCTTTAAGGAGCCAGAGTATTCTCTACTTCCTCTCCTGGATTGTTGTTTAATGTTGCAGGCACCATCCTAATGGCTTCCTTCAGTTTCCCTCTAGAGAAGGCTACAACGTGGTGGTGGCTGATGTGAAATGATTCCTATGTATATTGTAACTTAGTAAAGTGTTTTGAGGCTGGAGGCAGACAGGCATGCCATAAATCAATAATAATAGTAATAATCTGCTCTGTGCTAGAGGAAGATTCAAAGCCAGAGACACCTCACCCCAGCCAGTTCTAGGAAGGATGTGAAGCATCACCATAATTTGGGAAGAAAAACCCATACCCTTGGCTAATCATGCCCGAAAGCCAAACTTCACATCCCATCATGGAAGCACTTACGACCTACTTTTGTTTTACATCTCTGTAAACGCAATCAAAATGTTCTGTGCTATTAAACAAAATAACACCACAGTTTGAAGCTAGAGTGAACCTTTCTATATGTTTTAGAGCTACTCTGCCATCCCCATCTTGTTGCAGAAAGTCACAGCAACAAGGAATCCACGTGGGCACTACTTGACTCCTGGGAACAGCATAAGTGGAGCCCTGGGTCTTATAAGACCTGTTGTCTTTAGCTAATTAGCATTTCTAGGTTTCACAAATTCCACACAATGCATGTACATGGAGAAATCTGTTTGTTTAAAAGAAGAAAGAGTGTTGACAAGCAATTTTATTGTACTTATTTTCTATGCACTTTAATCCTGATACTTATTTTGCTTTTGCAGTGAATAAGTACACATTAACTCTGTCTTTTTGCATATCATTTTTTCATGAATTTTCCATCAGAAGTTGACATAGTTGTGCACTTATACCCAGGTGTAGAAAAGGGAAGAAAAATGGACACAGTGCTGGACATCACCTACTTGGAAGGACCACTGTGCAATGGAAGATCTCCATTTATATTTTACTTACAGTTTTTCAACAAACATCTGTATCCCTCTTTGGAGGAAAAAAAGAAGAAGAAAAAGAAAGAGCTTGCATAACCAAAGCTGAGCTAATTTATTTAAGAGATAGGAACTGTTCATATTTGAAAAGAGATGAAGGAAGAAAAAATCTGATCCATGTTTGATGTGGCAAACAGAGCTGATCTTCTCCCTGGATGTAGCTGGGGACTTGGATGCCAAGCTATTTTCCAGATAGGGATGCTAAGCCTGTCTGGTGCACTTCAGCCTTTTGTTACCTTTTTCAGTTACTTTAACAGAATATTTCATTGTAGTCAGGATTTCCCAGCTGCCTTCTAGGATTTCTGTTGGATGGAAAGATTTTATTTTCTATGTCAGTGTAGCTCTTTAAAAAAAGCAAGAGGTGGGCAACTAGATCAGGAAAGAAGAACTTATGCCTTACTTACATTTTGACAAGAAATATCTCCCTGCCTCCTTTCCTCCAAGGCAATTCAGATTTATTTTTTTTACTGGAGCAATTCGTGTAAACTGTCTTTAAATCACTGGTTCAGTCCTAGTGAGATATGCAGCAGCCTCAGGATTTTGCTTTGGGATGGCCACATGAAGCGTGTTGGTTATAGACAAGCACCTTTATCCAGGAGAAGCTGTTGCAATTTACTGTTCTCATTGCAAGTCTCAACTAACAGATTTTCTGAGCCACCTTTCATTACAGGTCAGCATCTGAGATCATGAGATGAAGCATTTTGCCAAGTCAGGCCCATAGGATGTGTTGTGTATTTAAAAAAAAAACACAGCAATTGAGATTCTCTGGTATCTCGCTGTGTCAGTGGAAGTCTTTCACCACAAACTTTTGTGTGAAAAGCCTCAAAGACTGTACAGAAAGGCAGCTGTGATTTTTGTGTGATCCCGTTTGTTTTTCTTTTGAGAGTAATGCCTTCACAACCAAACGATCTGATCAGTTTGTGTGGGCCTCTGTCCCTGTAAACATTTACAAACGCACAGACATTGCATGTTTTGTGGTTTGTCCATCTGGGTGAACTGCAGTGTTTGATCAAGTTTGGTATTGTTCCATGCAGGCTTCCTGCTTGGTGCATTTGGCTCCACATAGGATTGACTGGTCTAATCGATAGAGCTTATATGAAGGCTGAAGTGCATATATACATACAAAATCTCCTACTTTTTTCCCTCTTTGGTGGCAACTGACCATTGACATAGCAGTATGAGAGCAGAAAGCAGCAAGCTTGTGCTTTGTTTTCTAGAAGAATCCTGGTTATGGAAAAGAATACTTGTAGCAGTGAATCTTAGGTATGAAAATGGTGCCTTAACATTAGTGCCTATCGATCTTTGTACAGTAGATGGTGCATCACTGCTTGATTCTGTTCCAGTTTAAAGTGGAATTGTGGTATTCTGCATTTGAT